CAAAAGTAGTCATGTGTTATTAACATTAAAAATTTAATTATTTCTTATAATTTTGGTTAATGATTAAATTTTATTTTGTTTTTTATGATTTTATTTTATCATTTTTTGTTAATTGTACAATAAAAAATTTAAATAATTAATTTTTAAATGTTATATTATTAACTAGACTATAAAAATAATTATATCTCATTATTTACTCCAAAAATAATATAATTTTTTTATTGCTTTTTACTGTCAAACTTAGTTAATAAATTATTTGTTACATTATAATTAATTGTGAAATTGTTTTATTTTATTTTTTCTTATGGAGCAAGTTGGGTCAGGTCAAACCCAAATTTAAGAACTTGAATTACCCGTTTTCCCGACGAACACCCGTTGACCTACCAAGTAAAACCCAACCTGAACCTGAAGATCACTAGCCGAGTAACAGGTCTGTTTGGGTAGGGTAAATTATGTGCGGGTTGGGTTCGGGTTTGCCAAATTCATACCCGACCCGACCCATTTACATCCCTAACCAATTTTCTAATGATATGATTGGCATTCCGCACTCCCTAGGGCCACATCGGCAACTATCTCTCATGACTAAAATCTCGATATCAGTGCCACATCGGCACCTGTCTCTCATGACTAAAATCCCGATATCAGTGCCGACCATATAAAACTTCCCTCATGCCGATCTCATCACCAACAGAGTTTCCTTCATGCTAATGTCACCATCTAGTGTGAAAATGATTGCAGCCCACAAACTCGATAAATGTCTTTTTCCCAAAAAGACGAGCTGCTACTAACCACTCTATATGTTGTTGACCTCCCAAGTACATGCCACATGTTCGGTGACTCATTAAGAAGTTGTGATGATTTTCACTTTTTATCTAATATTCTCCGGATTAAAAAAAAATGAGAAAAACATCATACAAATACTCAAAAAGATACATACACGAAAAACACAAGAAATACGTGCAAATTTATTAAAGAAAACCTTAATTTCAACTCATTTATGTATTTCGTTTATGGGAAATTTTCTATTGTTCATCTTGCTTACGCGTTATTGATTCCATTTTCAGTCAATTTAGAGAGAGCCAAGATGAGTGAGTCCTGATGCTGATTGCACACACAACTTACTTTATACACACAACTTACTTTATATAGCCAAATAATTATAAGTTGGAGGGTTTATTGTATTTTTGTTCTTATTTTCGTGTGTTTTATGTGCCGTGGTAGGGTCTTTTTAGATTCGTTTTAGTGTCGATTGGTTCATTTTATCGTATTTCGTATATTTTTGTGTTCCTTATGTGTTTTTGTGTTTTGCTGTATTTTTCTTGTCTTTTTTGTGTTGATTAGGTCCATTTTGGCGAGCTTTGAAAAACGAGCCGACCAAGCCGAGCCGTCTGAGCCATTCCGAATCGTCCCGGGCCCTTTCCGAGTTAAGACCGGCGCCATGCGGCACGCCCGTGCTCGCCCGAGCACTCGCCCAGCATTCCGCTGGGCGGACTGACTTTCGCTCAAGGCATGGAGCACTCGCCCGGCTTAGGTCGGGCAACCTTGGCATACGCCTGAGACCGAATGCGCCGCCTGGAGAATTTGCCCGCGCGCCTCGACACTAGCCCGGGCGGACTGGAGCATTCACCCGCATGCCTTGGCACTCGCCTGGATTTCGCCCGCTAGCCAAGATTAGATGGCACTCGCTCAGATTTCGCCCGGGCGAAAATTGGGCGAGTGTAAAATTTTAATTGTGTGTGCTTTTAGTTTGTGTTTGTGGTGCAGCTATAAATCAACATTGTGCTTTGTATTTTTGGAGACCACCCCTCATTTCCCAATTTTTTAATTTGGGAGATTAGCTCTATTTTCTCTTTTTTATTTTTATCCTTTGGTTTGGAGATTCATGACTCAATTTTTCCGGCAAAATTCTGACAATCTTATTTTTTATCAAAACTCGAGTTTTACGCACTATTTTCGTCCGGGCATGAGTAAGTTTCTTGCTTAGAATTTACTACTTCGAGTTTGTTTTTCGATTTACGTGTTTATGCTCGATTCTAGGTCTTTACTTTATTTTCATCGCTTGTTTTCATGTGTTTGGAATTTAATGCGTGCTTATCTATTATAGAGGTCTCAACTTTGCTTAGGGCTTACTACTTCGAGTTTGTTTTTTGATTTACGTGTTTATGCTCGATTCTAGGTCTTTACTTTATTTTCATTGCTTGTTTTCATGTGTTTGGAATTTAATGCGTGCTTATATATTATAGAGGTCTCAACTTTGCTCAAAGCGTGATAATCTAGTGTAGAAAGCTCGTGTTAGGGTACCCCGGATCACTTTGCTCGCATGTTTTCTCTTGTTTATTTTTGTTTTCTTGATTTATGGATACTCCGTGCAAGCAAAGTTTTGATCTTTCTTACAATTCTTGCATCGTTCATTATTTGTTCTTAGATTTTTAGTTTAATTTCGTATAATCTAATCCCATCAAGCGAGTAGCATGTGTAGGACCTTATTTTCGGTTATGTGAATTAACGAATAGATAGTGAACGAAGCTCCGAATAGCCTTCCTTTGAGAACGACTCGAGTTGGATACTCGGTTATCAACAATCCCTAAAAATACTACAAAACACAGAGATATATAACTACAAACAGTGTTCTAAAAGTTGCTAGGCGCCCGCTAGGCGCTCGACCAGTGCCTAGCGCCTAGAGCGCCTAGTCGGGGTCTAGGCGGCGCCTAGTCGGGGCCCAGAAATCAATAGTAAATACCTTATTTTTTATTTATTTTAACTACCTACAAAATAAAATTATCTCAACATATAATAAATTCACACACCAAAGTCCAAATAATAATATTAATATATATTAAAGAAAACATGAGAACAAAATAATGTAATTAATATTTAAAAAAATAAAAAAAATTTAAAAAAAAATTGAAAAATTACCACCGAGCCCGCCTAGGAGCGCCTAGGTCCGCCTACGCCCGCCTAGACGCCGCCTAACCGCCTGGTCGTCGAGCCCGCCAAGGCCGCCTAGGAGCGTCTAGGGCCGCCTAGGCCCGCCTAGACGCCGCCTAGCCGCCTGGCCGATTTTTTCTGCCGATTTGTATAAATCGGAGGCGCCCGGGCACCGCCTAACGCCTAGGCGGCCGCCTAGGCCGATTTTTAGAACAGTGACTACAAACATGAATGCATCACAATGATTGTGCAACAACTTTGAGCAGAAGGGTCTCTCACTCTGTGCTAGAGATGGCCAGTCAACGGGCCGGGCCGCGTCGGGCCGGCAGGCCTTTCATGGGTGACCCTTAACCGGCTCGCCAAAAACTAAGGGTCGGGCCCGTGAACCGACCCTGTCCCGGCCCGACCCCGACCCGGTCCCGGTCCCAGCCCCCCGGGACCAAAAATAGAAAAACCGGACTCGGAAACGACCCGTAAACCCACAATTATGGTTCTCGGAACCGGCAACCTACGGGCCGGTTGCAAACCGAGCCGGGACGGGGACCGGGACCACGGGTCGGGTCGGGCCGGCCCGTGGCTATGTCTACTCTGTGCACAGGTTTTTGATTAGTTTAGTGCCCAAAATATTGGACATGGAAACTTTGATGCCAAATATAGAGTGTTAGCATTGTCACAATCCATTAAAAAAAATAAAATAAATAATAATTAGAAAGCGAAAAGAAAAACAGAAAGAGTGCGGCCAGAATGAGGTAAAAAAACAGAAATTCTATGGCGCCCATATGGGCGTCATAAATCATGCCACAATGTGATGTGTCACCTCAGGCTTTATTAATTATAATTATCAAGGTGAGGTGGCTTTTTAAAAGATTTTTCTCACCAAAATAATTAAATTTTCATTTCCCATAATTCATTTCCCCAAATCAAACTACGACGTCACCCACGACAATACACCTCCGTCGACAAGTGCAACCTCCGGCTATGGTCAACCACCGCCTGCAAAAAGTGTCGTCTCCTCTCACCTGACGGCCCTCCAGGCTCGAAACCGCTTCTTTAACTGACTCTCAGGCCCTTATCGTCTCCTTCGATCCAGGCCACGGTGTAAAGGCCCTACGGGAGCAAAGAAAATCGTATAATAACTTACGACGGCTACCACCCTCAAGACAACGATTTCACACGGTGGTTTGGAGAATATGGACATAGCATTCTCCTCTTTTGATTTAAGTTGTAAATGATTTATTCTCCTCTTCTGATTTCAGATTGATGCTGTGTTTGGAGAATATGAACATACTATTGAGATTTGAGATTGTTCTTGTGAAGGATGAGAGGACCAATCCGCAGCAGGGTATGAATCGAGTAACAAGTGTCAGACAAAAAAAAATAAATAAAAGAATGTAACTTTACAATTCATGTTATGCTGGGTTTAGTTTGAGATTTTATGTTCATCATTAGTTTAAGCACATCCATTACACTTGAAATTGTTGCGAAATCATAATTTGGTTGAATGATTTATTTCCCTTTTACAATGATACGATGCCTCTTTTGACATTATTTTCTAGTTTGGATTGAAATCTAGTTCTGTGATGGTCTTTGTTTGCTGTCAACAAGATGATACATCTATTGTTTATAAGAAATCATGTTATTCTTATGGAAGTTTTATATGAAATTGGAAACAATCTAGGTAGGAGGGTTTTTATTTATTTATTTTTTGGTGTGGAAATCTTTAAGAAAGCCATCTAACATTGATAATTATAATTGATAAAGTCACCTCATGTGACACATCACATTGTAACATGACTTATGGCACCTTTATAGGCGCTATAGAATTTCTGGCAAAATAAGAGGATTTGTATTGAAAATCAGATTAAGTAATTATTATTATAATAAATAAATATTTTTATTTAATTAATAAGTAAATTATATTACATAGAGAAAATGGAGTAAAAAGTAAAAACTAAATAAGATAAAATTTAAACCATTTCATAAACTAATAGTATCAGTTCAAATAAAATGCGAGTATAGAACAACAGGTAGGAAAATTCCACTTTTAATATTTATAAACTAATGAGAATCTCGTACGGGGTTTCGTACCTTATAAACATTTTTTTAAAACTTTATTGAACAATATATTTGTCCGCCGACCCATTTATACTATAAATAATATTTGAACGTATATATTTATTTTTTAATACAGAAAAAATAATAATTTTACATATTTTGGTTCATATTTATAAACTATACCTTATTGAGTAATAACCTTCAATTTATAAATTTTTTCAAAATAAATACATCTCATGCATCGCATATGTTACATAATAGTTTACATTGACACGCATGATAATGAATATGCAGCACATAAACTAGAGATGGTTTAGCGCAAAATGACATTAGACAAGCAAAGTTATTAACAATTTTGAAATCATATAACAATTGTTTGAATATACAAATTATATTTAGCTTGGAAAATGTGCCAATGGAATTGAATAAAATCTCCGGGTTACGTATTTTAAAATTTTGTGGAATTATCTTAAAGACCAATGCATATATTCTCTAAAAAAATATAAAATAGGATAAAATAATAGATAATATGATTGAATAATTGAGATGGTTAGATTAAATAAATCATCTTGTTTATTTTGTTATAAATTAACTCAATTAAAAATTATTATCAACGTACATAATTTTAAGATAATTCTTGATAATAAACTGTATAAAAGTAGCGTAAAACAT